CTTCCGATCTGTGAAACCCTGGCCCAGGTTGCCAAGAGAGGTGGTGGATGCCCCATCCATGGAAGCATTCAAGGTCAGGTTGGATGGGGCTTTGAGCAAACTGATCTAGTGAGAGATATCCCTGCCCATGGCACAGGATTTGGACTAGATCTTTAAAGGTCCCTTCCAACCCAAACAATTCTATATAAACTTAATTTATTGCCAGTTAAAATAGATATTTAATTGCTGATTTAGGTAGTGAGAAACAAGGAGACAGGCATTAAACCAACACTTTTCTTGCCCCCTTTCCCAGGCTCAATTTTACTCCTTCGCTCCAGACTCTCCCTCACCTCGACTGGCACGGAGGAGTTTCTCTCTACTGTTTCTTCCTTGTCACACTTTTCCTCTGCTCCGGCTTGGGTCCTTCCTGTTCCAGCACTGTGGAGCATCTCCTCCCCCTCCTTCTTTGACCTTGGTGTGCCCTTTGCTGTTTCTCACTCTTTTTGTTCCCTCCTCCTCTCTGTGGCATTTTTTTGCCCTTTCTTAAATATGCTTTCACACAGGTGCTGCCAGCTTGGCTGATGGGCTCAGCTGGGTCCTGCTGTGGGTCCATTGCAGAGCTGGCTGGCACCAGCTGTGTCCAGCATGGGGGCAACCCCAGCCTCTGCTCACAGAGGCCACTCCTGCATCCCCCCCCCCCACTATCAAAACCTTGCCACCCAAACCCAGTACAGAAAGTTATGTAGTCTTGATTTTCAAGTGATAGAAAATGTCCTATATGCCTGGGTAAGTTACCTCAATAGCTCATCAACTTCATTTAAAAAAAGAAACCTTATTTAAATTATAAATTTTTCTAGCTTTGGCTTCCAACTTGTGCCTATCATCATGTCTTTCCCTGTAAGCTTAAAAAGATATTTACTATCCAAAATATTTTCCTAGAGAGATACTTATGGTCTTGATTTGATTGGATCAGTTCTCCAGTCTTTTTTTGAACAGAGTATTTTAATGTCTCATTATAAGGCATGTTTTCCAGAACTCGTGTAATTACTGCAGTTATTTTCTCAGTTCTTTTAAGTTCCTCAGTATCCTTTTTGAAGTGCGGGCACCAGAAAGTAGATGCAGTGTTTCCTTCATAATTTTCCTAACACTGTATTCTGAAATAAAATCAGTCTTGTTTTTGTTTTAGATATTATCCTCCTTCTACATTCAAGGATCATATTCACCCTCTTGTGTAAAGCATCGCAGTAGGAGATAATCTTCATTTGATTACTTTCTATGACTCCTCAGTCCTTTTCAGTCACTGTTTTCCAGGACAGCATCTCCATTTTGTAATTATGACCTGCAGTCATCTTTCACTGGTGAATAAGTTTGCATTTCTTTGTATTATAACAGACGGTGTTTGAAAGGATCCCTTGCATCAAGAAACTGTGTGACTGGTCCATCTCCAGCTATCACATTGTCCCTAAAGGCTTGGTTAAGGGTGATTATCATCTCAAACTTGTCGTTACCTGAAAAGCAATAGAATATCGTCATGTTTTAGTCTTAATCTAGAGCCAATAATAAGCTGGAGGAATTAATTTCATTTAAATATTTCCATAATGACAGGGTGTCATTTCATATGTTTATGGCCATGTAAGGTTCATCATTGCACCATGAGGCTTGAAATTTGTCTGAGCAAGTCTACTTCACAAGAGGTTAATAGATCATTTATAGCATAGTTAAGCACTAGTACAGATTGTTTATTGCCAAGAGATAAGAGGAATCTTACCAAGTGACGTTAAAAGTGCCAAAGAGGTGGGAAGTTGGTAGCCTGAGGGATTCTTGAAAAAGATGAAGATTAATAATTTTTATTGAAGGGGAGAATTATAATGTTTTAATCTAAATAGTACTTCTTCAGGGAAAGGGAAAGCACATCTTCCAAATTGAGACCCTCTTCTGTGAAGACAAACTTAAAGATGCAGTATTTTTTTCAGCAGAAATCTTTCTTTAGTCCCATGATTTGATAGGCATTGATGTCTTGAAAGCTGGATAATCTAGAGAAGCTGCTTGCAGCTGAGGTGAGGATAGGCAGATGTAAGCAGTTTTCTGTTTTCTTTTATCAGTTTTTGTAACCTTTGTAACTGTGTTTCTGTATTTGAAGCTGTTGTAAATAAATTATTTTCTTTTACCTTTACTAGGCTTTTCTTAAGAGTGCATTTAGAATAAGTGTCAAACAGGACATTCTATCCCTTTGTGTAAGGCTTTCTTTAAAACTGAATTACTGTACTACTTCTTCAGGGTATAGAATCTCTTTGAAATTTCCAGGGCATTCAAAGGATAATAAATGTGTCTCTGCTAAATGGCATGGATTATTTTGGAATTTTCAATTTCATCTATATAGAAGATGCATCCCATTTTGCATGCTGCAAGATGGTAGGAATACTACCATTGAGCACTCATGGTGATAGCAAAATTTGCAGCACTATAATCCTACCAATCCTTGTGCCACCTGTAAATTTTATCCATAATAATCATAAATTTTATTCCAGATTATGAATAAAATTATGGACTGCGCATTGTTATAAACCAATCAAATATTTTCCTAGATGATGAGCGAATGTTGAGATCCAACAATTAATCATTTTTTTAATTATTTAATTTAAACTTTTATATAAGTGTCATATTTCTAGTAAGAAAGCTAGGCAGAACTAAGACAAATACTTTACAGAATATTATTTTGTCAGCATAATCTATAACTGCATCAAATAATTTTGCAAAGTGAATTTGATAAAACCTAGCCCTGTGTGTAAATGGCATGAATTGAACTGCCATCCTCTATCAGCTTATATCATGGAAATAAATATTAACAGCTTTTACTTTTCAGAGACTTTTTTTGAGTATTGGAATAGCCGCTTTAGCATACACTAACATAGAAATTAGCTTTTTTTCTTACAACCACAAGGAGTAGGCCTTCTGTTAACATAATCTTTGTTTCAAAATAAGCTGCTTGCAGCATGTGGAAGGTCATGGGGCAATTTGGGAAATTTTAAAGGTAAGTTTGCAGTATCTTAAGACCTAGAGGTCTTGGGTTGCATGTTGAGTTATGGAACTTTGAGGACCTCTGCCACAGGTGATTGAATTTTGGGAATTAGGGAGGAGGTGTAAGAGCTAAATTTGTGCTAAAATTGCTAAATTTGCACGAGTCATATAGTAACTAACTTTCACCTCCTGTTGAATACACATAATGATACCTGTTCTTCTTTTTAAAAAGCTTTGAGATCCTCATATGAGAGGTACTACACAAAAAGCATTTTTTAGTTCATTAATTCTATGTATAGAATTCAAATGGTAGGACTCTTGAGCTCTTCAAAAACAATATTGGTGTTAAATATCTACAACTAAGCATAATGTCTGTTTTACATAATGTCTTTTGGGTTTTAAATACCAAATCTCTTTTCTCTTACAGAGAAGTTGATCAGGATTCTGATGGCCACATCAGCTTCAAAGAGTTTGAATCTGCAACGAAGTACGGACAAGATGAAGTATCACCAGTGTACTTTGCCTAAAGAATATTCTGTGGTGAAAAGACAAAGTGAAAACGTCAGATCTCAAGATATTCAAAAATCAATGAAACGTCATTTGTTTCAGCCAGCATTTTAAGAACTTTGACTGTAAGTGTAGCTCTGAAGAACGGCCTTTGAAGCTTTACTGTTGACAAGTTGGGTGTATTAATTTACATGTGTATGTGTGCGTAGAATACTTAAAATATTTGAAATCTCAATTGATTCCAAATCACCCTAGTTAGGAACTGCAACTCTGTACTTTTTCTTTTTGACTTAACAGATGAAAAAGGAGCAACTCTGATTTCTAGTTACTGTGGAACTTATTTGTTCACTTTTTCAACAGCCCTTTGTTAACAGACCAAAATATCTCACACATATAGAAACTGATAAATTTATGGCAGATAATGCCTGTTTTTTAAAAATCAGTAGTATAATTGTCTTTATTTTCACTTTCATATATTGTTCTTTTTTATGTATTACACATTATTTTTAATTTAACGTTTATTGGTTAATTAGCTGCAGGATTGAATTCTGAACAATTATCAAGAACGGTGTATGTAAGGAAGTAAAGTAAGCATAAATACTTAGCAGGGGTTTTTTTTGAAACAGTTTTTTAAATGGAGATAAGAATAAATCTTTAAAGTGTACATCATGGACCTCAGTCTGGCAGGCTGAAAATACTGTGTATTCAAACCTTCAGCTGACTTTTAGAGAAGAATTTGGATATCTATACTTTAGCAAGATCAGAGAGTTTTCCAAGAGTTGAGGGGAAGTATAAGGTAGAATCTGTCATTGTCTTACAAAGCTATCTATCTTCCCTTCTCTCTCGCTCTCTCGTGCAGTAACCGGGAGATGTTCTTGCCTGCTGTAACTTTGTATACATCCATCCAAGCTGTGCTATAGTGAGATAAATCTTTCTTATTCAATTATTTTATCTATGATCACTTACTTCCTACTGCCTTTGTGTGTTCATATGAATAGTAATAGATAATAGAGATTTCATTATGGGCACTGTCTCTGATCATATGGTCCACTCCATTGCTTCATTTCTGTTTATCTGCCAGTTGTTAAATTGCTTGGATTAGAGATTTCTTTTGAAACTGTACAGAAGCAATCCCCTCCTCAAATGACCTTACAGACTGTAGCACGTACTTAACACTGCTGTAAATAAATAATAAATAACAAATAATAATCATCAGTAAGAGAAAGAAAGTATCTCTACTCTTAAGTCAAGAGAGTCTCCAATTTCTTCCACATTTTAGTGAGGCATTCCAGATTACAATTTACAGGTGAAGTATTTATAAAATGATGTCCATGTTTTCTGTTCCCATTACATGTATGTATCTCACTAGGTACAGGTAAAGTGAAATCTTTCTCTTCTTTAATTCCAAGGCAGATAGTATATAAATAATGGGAGGAAGTTGGAGACACTGAATATATCAGTAGATATATCTGATTCTATATATAAGCACCAGATATCCATTAGACGAAATGAGCTGTAACTCAAATAGCGTGCTTTATGTGCTAATCAGTGGGAGCAAACTGGTGTTATCTTTGAAAGGTGATGGCAAGACATGCTAATAGATTGCAGGTTTTGTCTTAGAAATGCCATTTCCCAATAGATGAATGTTTTCATAAGAGAATCATCACCATGGATGTTAATTAGCAATATCATCACAGCCTCTTCTGAGATGCAGGAGATATTGAATTATTATCCCACAGGGATAGTTGCTACAGGTCTAGACACACTCATGAAAAAACGTATGATGGTTTGCTGTGATATTACTTACATTGTATTTTTTTGGTCAGTAGACTTCAGTTTTTATGGTGCCCAGACCCTTTGCCCTTCCTAAACACTGAATCCAGGCAGTATTATTTTATTATGATATATTTTTACTATTATAGTACTGGCTTTTATTTAGCTGTTAAAAAGTCTGTGGCCGCTTGTTCATATTTCTAGCCCAGCTGTGGTTTGTTGTCTAAATATATGACAATATTTGTAGTTCACAGATGCTATATTGTAAAAGTATATTCTGTTAAATATTATAACAGACAGAAAGGTCTTTGTATGCTTTTCATTTTAAGAAATATGTGTGTCTTGTATGTATGGCAAGGAACTCTAAAGAGGAAAGTGCTCTCTATCATCTCCTTTATTTCCTCAATTTCTCTCAATCCTCATTTTCTCAAGGACTTGAAAAGTTGCTATGAACTTGAATTACTGAGAACATAAACTCCAGGAGAGGAGAGGCCAATGAAATTATTTTACCATGTTGGAATTTTTTTTTAGAATAGAACAGAACTGTATTAAAGGATCATAAGTGTTCTTGTTTCTCCTCCCATGAGGACTCACAGAAAGAAACTGCAGATGACCACAGCTGAGTGGAACTGAGTAGGCCCTGGTGACACTCTTCCTACTGAATAGCTTAATACAAATTAGTTACTAGCTAGTGCTTATCTGGGTTTTGGCTCGCAAACTGCAGAAACACTTCAGCTATATCACTATAAATTGATAAAATTAGGAATGACGTTTATTAGGTGGGTTAGGTGGTGGCCTATTCTCAGTAATGGATTGGGAAACAATAAAAGCAATAGCTACCATTGGATGAAAGAGGCCACATGCTCTTCATTTTTGTATGTTTTCTATTGCTGATATAACAGCTCAACATAAAAGGTCAACATGAAAGGATCGGCAGAGCTAAGAGCTGTGATCAGCCTTAGCTTACAAGCTGCAACTCTGACAACTCATGTCAACTCTAGAGTGACATAAAATGGGACTATACACTCATTAGCAGGTTACATTCTTATCTGCAACATTTCCAAGCGTGTAAGGACATCAATGATATGAGCCCAGATAAGAAGTTTTCTTTTGTTTGATGGCTACCATCTTTGGCAGAACCCTGGGAACTGAATTGTGGCTGAACCTCCAGCACTGAAAAAATGAATTGCGGTAGCTAAAGAGCCATAGCTCTTTAACAAATAATTATTCATGTACCTTATGAACAGCACAGAGGTGGATCTTCAGGATTTACTTACCAGAATGTTATACTATCTTTTCCAAGTTTATGAGCACATTTGTGACATTATGTAGACTTTTTGTTGTTTTCTGACACTTCAGTTACTTAACAAGCAGGCTTTCCTTGTTTAAAATATCCATAAAAAGAATATTTACTTTTCTCAAGTTTTCAAGTGAGGAATCATGTGTTTAAATTATTTGCAAATGGATCCTTTATATACTTATCTTATTGCTGCCATTTTATAGCAAATAGATAGATGATATAACCATAAATACTATCAAAGTATATTTGTTTTGTTCCCCTGGGGCTTCTGTAATTCACTATAGCTGTTGAAATCTAGAAATCTGTAATGTCCTTTTAAAGGATTTGGATGATTTAGACTTTTTACCAAGGCCTGTAGTGACAGGGCAAGGAGTAATGGTTTTAAACTGAAAGAGGGTAGATTTAGATGACATTAGGAAATACTATCAAAGTATATTTGTTTTGTTCCCCTGGGGCTTCTGTAATTCACTATAGCTGTTGAAATCTAGAAATCTGTAATGTCCTTTTAAAGGATTTGGATGATTTAGACTTTTTACCAAGGCCTGTAGTGACAGGGCAAGGAGTAATGGTTTTAAACTGAAAGAGGGTAGATTTAGATTGGACATTAGGAAGAAATTTTTTACGATGAGGGTGGTAAGACCCTGGAACAAGTTGCCCAGAGAAGTTGTGGATGCCCCATCATTGGAAGTGTTCAAGGTCAGGCTGGACGGGGCTTTGAACAACCTGATCTAGTGAAGGATGTCCCTGCCCATGGCAGGGGGATTAGACTAGACAATCTTTAAAGGTCCCTTCCAACCCAAACCATTCTATGATTCTATTATTTTATCGATTGAATGAGCGGTTGTTAAACTACGGTCTTTGGGCAACATGACATTCCTGGTAGCCTGCACAGTGTAGTATACTGAAATCTGGGAGAGATTTGACTGAAAAAGAATTCAGATGATTAAGCCCAATATCAAGATTTTCCTCATTGAAGTATTTTGTTTATTTTTTTTTTCCTGGTGTATCAAATAATGAGTATTTCATCCGTTTATTCAGTAATCAGAAGAATCCAAAAATAAATATATGCAGTACATCATAGAATATGCAATATGTCCCTATAAGGTTCCCAAGATAAAACTTAGTGTAAAGATAGTACATTAGGTTTGTGGCTGTGTCACTGTCTCTTCTATCCTTAATCAGCTGGGTGGGTGGTGGCTGACAAGTCAAAGACAGTAACTAGCTGACACACAAAATGTCACAGTTCAATGAAAAGCTTTGGCATGACTCTCATTTACTATAACATATCAGCTTTATCCTTCTCTGGCAATGAAATGCGGTCTTAAAATTAGTGTGAATTACAGCTGCATCCCTACTTTGATTCCTTAACACTGTTCTGTGGGAAGGCTGCCCAAATGTTAAATAGGGTCAGACCTGTTTGTATAAATTTTTGTGTAAAGATCGCCAATAACGATTTGAGAAAATACATTGCACCATTGTCCATAAGAAACAGGAATAATAAGTGGGGTTTTTAATCATAGTTCTTTAAGGATCCATATCTGAGCCTCTTATTTGCAAGAAATAAAAAATTAGTGATGAATTTTAAAGGAGCCCAGAGGTTGCACGTGCATTAACATTTTGGCTCAAAACGTAGTGTGGTTCTGAAGTGAACCTGCTGATCTTCCTCACTTTCTGTGCATTGGTTCAGTTTGTGGAGTCATGATGGTGCGTGCAAATCAAGATTCATTTTGGAGGAAAGCAAACTAGAAGGCCACTCTGGGCGTGCACGAAACATGCTTCAATACCTAATGGAGACACAAGTCTGAATTATGACTAGCTTGCACCACCATGAAGTTCTCCAAGTCCTCCAGCATATGTCAAGCAGTCCAGCTGACTATCAGCAAAACAGTCACAGCAGCAAGGCATCCCATTCTCCATATCTGTTTTTTCATTTGAAAGAAAAGCCAGTGTCACTGCCATCACAGTGTCCTCTTGGATTTGTTTCCATGGCTCCAGTCCTTCATTAGTCCCTTCAATAGGACCTTCAGATGTTGACCAAAATTAGAGTGGGAGCAGAGTTTGGCAACCAGCATCATGGTGTCAACCAGAAATGAGCAGGAACAGAAATAAAGCTGCTTTTCGATTTGAGACCATAAGGAGACAGAGCAGTGACATGCTACTGTCTTCTGCATGAGACAGACAAAAGGATGGCATGGAGTTTCCTAGGGTGGAGGATCCTGTGGACAAGAAAGCCACAGTTCTGTGGCATAGCTTCTATTCAGACAACTTTGAACAAAATGTGTGGTGAGAACATTTCATCTAGTGACTCAGCACCAATGGCATCATAATACTAAACTACTGCTTTTGCACTGAATTATTTGCTAATGTAGACTTAGCCAGGGAGTCTGGTGTTTAAAATTGCTTTGATACCTATGCTATGGTGAAAATCTCAGCCTTAATCAGA